TAATATTTTTAAATTTATATTTTATTTAAAAATAAAAAATAGATTATTTTTTTCTCAAATTTACATAAAATCGTATTATAATATTAATATATTCAAAATATAAAACAAAATATTAAAATCAAGATATATCTCGTTACATTACGTAACTAAAGTTGTAATTTTATTAAGGCATATATCGCATAAATTTGTATTTTTGGAGTGACTAGAATGTCAAGGACAAAATCATTAATAAATAATAAAGAGTGTGGAAAAGAAAAAACTGGAAAAGGACAAATGGACCAATGAAAAGACGCCACGTAAGGTGAAATAAGTCAAATATTGGGACTCTGTCAAAGACGGAGCAGTCGGCCTTTTAAAACGTCAAAACTCAGCCGGTGACCGTCGTCTTCTTCTTTGTCTCATTTTCTCTCTTTCATTCAATTCGATTAAATAATTATAAATCAATTAAAATTTTCTTTTTATTTCCTAATTTTTCTATTAAATTAATAATAGTTTATTTTTTAAAATATGAAGAATCAAATTCAATTCACATGTTCTAGTACTTGTCGGTAAGGATGCTTATCGGTTGAGTTGATCGAGTTGAAGACATTTAAACAATTCAACTTGCGGTTTAAAAAATCTTAATTCAACTCAACCCGAACCAAAGTGCAACTGAATCCAACCCAACCCGTACGGGTTGGTCGGGTTGATTAAAATATTCTTCTAATCTAAAATATGTTATTTCTCTACTCATAATTTCTTTTTTATTATCAACCATTTGGTACAACTTATTCATACTTCTTACGTAAATCAGATTCAGTTAATTTTCTCAATTTACATATATATGTTCACAGTTACTGAACATATATACGAATGAGTTATATAAAGATGTGAATAGATTGAAAATATGTGTATATGAAGAGCATACATGATAGTGTAATTGTCTAATATACATATTAATAGAAATTCAACCGTCATATTAAATCCAAGAAATAAAATGATATTGGGTTTATCGGGTTGAGTTGGGTTCAAATAATAGTAACCCAATATCAACCCAATACCTACGGTTTGACAATTTTTACAACTCAATTAGACATCGGATTGCTTTGGGTTGATCGGGTTGGTTGGGTTTTTGAGCACCCACTCGTCGGGTATGATCATATCCACTCCTATCTCCAACGGAGAATGGGGATCCTGAATGAGGAATCAAGTTTTTTTTTCTGTTTATGTGAGATATTTTAAATTATATATGTTAAACGACATACTCGATTTAAAATCGATCATGTTTAAATCTCACGTATTTTCAAAAAATTATTTTTATGGAGTATTAAAGATTCATATGTTAATAAAATCACAACATCATACATAATTATTTAATCAAAAGTTTTCGACTCTTCACGTTTTTTTATCTAAAACAAGTTAAAAAAATGTATATAAGAAAGAAAAATCAAAATACTTCTTTATAATATTATATTTAACAATAAATATACAATATATTGAACATATGGGGATGGGACAGGTCGGAAATCACGTTAACCATTCCCATCCCCATCCCTTGTTTTTTACTTTCGGGGATCCCTATCCCTGGACCTAGGCATGGCAATGGGGCRGGGATGGGGCGGGKTTTGTAATCCYCGGCCCCGRCCCCGGTTTGTAGTAACGTCCCCCAGCCCCGGCCTCGGTCCCCGGCGGCAACGGGGATTATCATCTCGTCCCCGGTCAAATCTCTAGCAATCCGCGGTCAAAACCTGGTAAAAAACCTGTCAATCCCCGGTCAAACCCCATAAATAGTATTATTTAGTTTGATTCTACTGGAGATCCCTGACCCCGGTTTGAGTAACATCCCCCCGGCCCCGTCCCCGTCCCCGGTTTGAGTCTAGCGGGGATTTCCGGCCTTGGGACCCGTTTTAGCGGGGAATCCCCGTCCCTGTTTGAGTCAGGAGAATCGGGTTCCCCACCAGGTCGGGGCAAATCACTATCCCTACCTGGACCCGTCGTGGTGAGTACACTAGGTTCCCCAATGGGGCGTGTCTCATTCTCATGCCTATAAATTAGTTTTCATGTGTTGTTTTATATATGAAATAACATAAGTGAAAAATGCAATGTTGTTTCATTATAAGAAATTTTCAAGACTGCTTTAAATGTGGAAACAAAAATTCAATATGTGTTTATCACATGATAACACACACACACACACACATAGGCATACAAGAACAAAACATGTGAAACAATATGAATCATAATTTAAAATAAAACTTATTATATAATTTGGGTTGGTTTGCACGAGTTTGTATCTGACATTTGCTTAGTCCATATTGATCCATCCTCCCACAGGTCAGAGTCCTTGGTTAGCTCGTATCCCGTACGTCTAAAGGATAAAAGTGAGCCCAAAGGACACATGATGTGTTTAGGATT